AACTTAATATTTAAAGGAACCATTTAAAAATATTGTTCTAATTTTGTATAAAATTTGGTATGCTTCTTTTTTTACTGGAACTCAAAAGAATGATTCCTGAAAATCTGCCCATTGGGATGAAAATGAAACATTTAAAAGGACTTTTTTAAAAAAGAGATTATATTATGTATAAACTCAAAAGCTCTAGCACTTTCTCTGAACTTTGGCACACAATTATAATGTTCTCATGTTCTTATGAATTGTATTCTATCCTATTAATAGAAGAAAGAAATTAGAGCCACTTGGTTTAATTCATGTTCTAAGATTTAGATGAGTTCCATTTTCAGCACTAAAATTCTTATCACACTCCAGGATTTCTCAGGTGTAATCTGTGGCCTGATGCCAGCCTTCATAAAATAAACACAAATGTATATAATACCCACATTAAACTAATTAATATCCTTTAATTCCTTGAAAATATACAAACAAATTATCATGCTCCATTGCAATCTCAGAAGGAGAAAAGGGTCTTTCTTTCTTTCTTTCTTTCTTTCTTTCTTTCTTTCTTTCTTTCTTCCTTCCTTCCTTCCTTCCTTCCTTCCTTCCTTCCTTCCTTCCTCTCTCTTTCTTTCTTTGTCTCTTTTTTCTTTCTCTCTCTCTCTCTCTCCTTTTCTTTCTTTCTTGTCTTGGTTTTTTGAAGTCATCAAATAGTTTCAAACAGATGTGCAATAATCAATTTAACATAGATACATACATAAAAACAAAAAGCAGGACTAGAACCCACAGTCTCCTGGTTTCTAGTCTGGTGCCTTAATTGCAAAACCAAACTGGCTCTTGTTATTCACAACAATGTGAACTCACAGCTGTCAGTTCTTTAGCCGGTTTTGCCCTTCATATGCATCAAGTTCTGCCCAAGAATTTAGGATATTATAATGTATCAGTATAATATATATGCAGATCCAAGCTTTGTAACCTTTTGTAATTGATAAGTGGACATTTTTCAATGCACAGATTTTCCAAGTGTGTCCAAGATATTTTGCTACTGTATGGCACCCAGTGTGCCAATAATCACTATGAGATCACTACGGCTGGTTTATGCCATAATCTTTCAATTTCAATTTTCAGATTTTGGTACTTTTATACTATTGGTTTTGAATCTTAGATTATGTAGTATAGTGTAGTGTACTACTATATAGATACTGTATTTTATAGTATCAATACATCTTGATAGCATTATTGTTATTATTACTAATTATTACATGAATTCTGCTCTTCTCCAAATTTTACAGTTATTTATCTAGCATATGGCATACCATACATGGACTAGCAATATATATTAACATTTCAACTAGATTAGTAGAACCCAATAAAATATAAATGTTAAAAAGATCTTTGTTCAAATATTAATGTCTAGGCCATCTAAACATTGAAGTGCAGCATCGTTTGTATTTTTTAAAAAATCAGATACTGGACCGATATATGCCCTCAGTTTATAGCTGGTCATGATGTGATCTACAGTTTGACAGGGGACCTCGCAGTCACACTGAGGGAAAGATACTATGCTCCATATATAAACACAATCCTGGCAGACACCGTGTGAGTGCGAAAACTATTCAGGATTGTCCATTGCTCAAAGCCTGGCACCATTTTTATGGGGTCATTTATATGTCTTCCTATGTCTGGGTGTTCAGCGACCTATTTGGCTTTCCATTGGGAATCAATGTTAAAGTTGTTGGGCAGATGTTATGCAAGTGCCAAGGAGGCTTCCTGGATTTGAGTCTTCCTGCTGATAAATGAAGAAGGTCGGCATGCACCAGTAGGAGTGAGTTGTTCATAATTTTTCTGCATTCTCTCACTAGTGCATCATGCCTTTGTAAAGCTGGTGGTGCTATATGGTTCAGAAGCCAGCAAGTTGTAGTGGTTTTGATACATCCGCTTATAATCCTCAGGGTGTCGTTGAGTCTGGCATCTAACTTACTAGTATGGCAGTTAAGCCATATAGGGGCACAGTATTCTGCTGCGGAGTAGACCAACCCTATTATTGATGACCTGAGGGTAGCAGCTGAAGCTCCCCATTTAATTCCACATAATATTTGGAGTGTGTTGTTCTTAGTATTGATTCTTGCCACTGTATTCTCTAAGTGTTTGTTGTAGGAGACAGTCTGATCCAATGTTACTCCAAAGCACTTTGGATGGGGATCATAGGGGAGTAAGTTGCTGTTTAAGTAGACCTTTGGGGCTTCATATACTAGTTTGTTGTTAATTTTGTTAGAAGCATGTAGTTATTGTTTTGCTGGTGCTAGGAGTAAGGCTCCAGACAGAGAATAATTTCCCCAAATATTTTAAGATATTTGAACAGGAGGCTGTCAGCCACCTCCATGTGTTTTTCTTGTACTGCTATGGCCAAATCATCAACAAATCCAAATTTGCATTCCCTTGTCACTGGCATATCTGATATGTATGTTGAATAAGTGGAAGTGCCATTACACAGCCTTGTAGGAGGCTCTGTCATTTTGCAGTAATTTTCAACTACAGACATATAAAATATGCATATGGTGTACAAAAAAATCAGTGTATGCCTACATCAGAAAATGCTCCTAATGGAACATGTGTACATAAAAGTGTATTATCAAATCAATTGGATGCTCTTGTGTATGCGTTTTTAATTATTTTTAAATTTAATTTGCTATTGTGGACATTTGGCAAAATAGGCTTATGACTGAGAACATGCAAAACAGAAACAGATTGGATTTACGCTAATCCGTTCATCCCCAACTCCATTCTGTGACAACCTATTAAACAGGCTGTTTCTGTGTATTGCCTACAGGATGAGTTGTGGCCGATTATCCTAATCCTGAGTGACTGTGACTGTCAGCATTGCTTGCACGTCTGTATTTTGCCTGTCTTGTTTGCACACGTGCAGGAGATGCGCTCCTTTCCTCCTTCATCACCGCCTTCGCCTTCGCATTGGCTTTGCTTCTAACTCTAAAGTCTGTCTTCATGTCTAGTCTACCCTTGGCCTTTAACCTTCTCACTCACTTTTCATCCCCATAAACTGTACAGTGTAGTCTTAACTAATGACTCCTGGGAATTGCCCAGGGAATCTGCTCCAGAAACCAGAGTGGATCACTTCACTGAACAAAAGGCTTTGTGTTTCCAACACTAGCTCTTTCATGCTTCCGAAAGTCCTGGACTTTTAACCCTGTGGATAAGGCTGTTTTCCTAACCCCAACAGGAACTCAGCTCTTCAAATCTTAACACAAGCTTTGCTTTCACCTTTTGACCCGGGCCAGTTTCTGGATTCCTTAATTCTGTCAACATCAGCTCTCTTGTGCTAATACATTGACTGTTCTTTCATGGATTTTGATCCAGATTTCAGGTCTATGCCAAATTCTGATTGCACAAACTTTCTTCTCAACTCATCTGTCTCATTAGCATGAGGCTTAAAATCCCATTTTAATATCCAGTAAGGAAATAATTATCAGATTTGTCAACACCATTATGTATATGGGTATGTGTGTATGGATGATTATATGTGTCTATTATCACAGAAATAATCTTTCCAATTCAACCAAGAGAAATGCTTGCTTGAGAAACTAAGAAAGTTGCTTTAGAGAACAAGCTGGCGAATAAGCTACAATAGCCTGTTTGTAAACCTGATACCTTTGAAAGGGAGGTGACTACTGCATTATTGTAAGGACATTCCTAGGGAGCCATGCTGTTGCTCCAAAGAGCAATGGATAATGGAACTGGGGTTAGAAGCTTACATTTTCAGACCTACAACCTCAATGCTCCTTGCTGCTTCTGTTGCTTTCAGCTGAACAAGTTAAGGAGAAGGAACCTTAACTATTCATCACTGACTACTGGGGGCGAGTTGTTGGCCCCCACAGAGAGGGCTCACAATCTGGGAGTCCTCCTGGATATGAAGCTGTCCTTGGAGGAACATCTGACGGCTGTAACCAGGGGGACCTTTTGTCAGGTTCGCCTGATTCGCCAGTTGTGGCCCTTTCTTGATCGGGATTCCCTGTGCACAGTCACTCATGCCCTCGTCACCTCTCGCCTTGACTACTGCAATGCTCTCTACATGGGGCTCCCCTTGAGGAGCACCCTGAGGCTCCAGCTGGTCCAGAATGCAGCAGCGCAGGTAGTAACGGGAGCAGCATGGCGCTCCCATGTAACACCGCTCCTGCGTGAGCTGCACTGGCTCCCGGTGGTCTTCCGGGTGCGCTTCAAGGTGTTGGTTATCACCTTTAAAGCGCTCCATGGCATAGGGCCTAGCTATCTTCGAGACCGCCTGCTGCTATCGACGATCTCCCATCGACCCGTGCGCTCCCACAGAGAGGGCCTCCTCGGGGTGCCATCAGCCAAACAGTGCAGGCTGGTGACCCCCAGGGGGAGGGCCTTCTCTGTGGGGGCACCTACCCTCTGGAATCAGCTGCCCCCAGAGATAAGGAGAATCCAAGACCTCAGTGCCTTCCGCCGTGCCCTTAAAACCCATTTTTTCAAGCAAGCCGGGCTGGCTTAAGAAGAAATTTTTAAATGTTTTAATTGGTAGTGAGTTTTAATTGGGCCAAATTTATATATCTTTTAATTGTTTTTAATATTTGTACTGCATGTTTTTTTAATTTTGGCTGTACACCGCCCTGAGTCCTCAGGGAGAAGGGCGGTATAGAAATTTAAAAATAAATAAATAAATAAATAAACCTCCCCATTCCTCTCCATCTCCTTCCAAGAAGCCAAAAAGGAAGGAGAGGCAGAGGCAGAGGCAGAAGGGAAGTGAGGGGCAAGCAGCTTCATGCAAAGGCCTTCTGGTGTTATAGGCATGGCTCAGCTCTGGTCTGAATTGCAGTGCTATTGGAAAGTTCTTCCAACAGTGCCTTGGGTACTGATTTAATATGTGTGCTTTCCCAAGATGCCTTCACAGAGAGAAGGGTTGTTTCAACAGGCCTGCTCCTTTAGCAGGGAACAGCCTTTTCTCCCTGCTCCTCATTGCAGAGTCGGCCTCTCTAGCTGATTGCAGAGGCTCAGTTCTGACAGTGCACAGGCCCCTTTATCTCTCCCATCCCACTTTGCTTGTGGCACAAGGAGGAGTTGGCGTGTTCCTGGAAGGAAAGCGATAAAAAAGAAATTAAAGCAAAGGGAGAGGAGGGCAGGGGGAATTACCTGTCCTGAATTTAAAAAAGCACCCCAGGTTACTGTGGCAACTGAAAGATGCATCATGTTGCCATGACAACTGGGGAAACATCCTCGTTTGCCTAGCCTTGCCACTACACAGACGATCGGAGGAGAAGTCATGGGGAGAAAGTGAGGTAGAATGGGCAGAAACCATTCTGGGGTTTCTTTTCTTCATCTCAAAGGACGTTTGCTGGAAACTACAATCATCCACGTATCCAGGCGGGCCACCATCCACCACCCCACCTTCTCACCTTGTCTCATCATGAAAGAATAAGCCACCTGCTGCCTGCCAGATGTTTTTAACTACATCTCCCATTGGCTGCTAGTATTTATGGTAGTAAATGATAAAAGGAAGCCGCCTTTTCTAAGAACATCTGGAACAGACTAAATTGCCTGACTATGTCAAATTGATTAGAAAGTGCAAGAGGAAGAATTTGGCTAGGATCAGAAACTAACTAAAAATAAAGTATTGGTAGTGTTCCTATTGTAAATTGCTTCAATCCTTGCCGGTGGTTGGTGGTCTATGAAAAGAAGGGGAGGGAGGGATGGAGAAGGAAGGAAGGAAGGAAGGAAGGAAGGAAGGAAGGAAGGAAGGAAGGAAGGAAGGAAGGAAGGAAGGAAGGAAGGAAGGAAGGAAGGAAGGATCTGTGGGCAATCAGGGTTGCTTTATTTACTAAAATACTAATACTACTTTTAGCACCATTGACCAAAGCAACAAATTATATAAATAAGCCTTTTGAAACCTCTGTGTTTTTGTAGCTATAAAATACCTTCTCACGTCAGCTGACAAACCCTCTAACAGTCTCTGCATGACAGAGGGAAAGGTCAATTTCTCTGTGATGTCTAGAATAATCAGCTCAACCATTTTTTTCAACACTTGTAGTGTAGTACTTCCTGCCAGTCTGCAGTTGTGAACATAGTCATGCATGCTAGAAAGTATAATTTACACTATGTAAAAAAAGCTCGTGCTTTAAAAACAAGAGAGGAAGGAAAAAATAATGTGTAATGATCCATGTTAGAGTAATGTCATTGTCATCACTTTGAAAAGAAGGAAAAAGAACTAAAATATTTTTTGCTGTTCCAAAGCACTATAGTACAGGAGAGAAACACAAGTCATTAAAGATTCAGTTTCTATAATATATTTTCCACTGGATTTTTTTTAAAAATGTAGAAAATTTTATAACAAGAACAGTATACTATGTGTAGAAGCTTTGTAAACATTTTCACTATCTTTGGACTAGTGAAATTGGCCAAGAACTTTTTAAAATTCAAATCATTCTGCATTTGTTTGTCCTTTGATACATAGAGTTAAAATGTGATTTCTCTGACATACTGCATTTTAGGTCAAAGTTCCACTATTTACATTTGCATAGTATGCCTTCTTTTCAGATGAATACCTGTGGATTTTTGGTCAGTGGAAGATGACTGTTCATGTGGATAATGTTGCAAAGACTCTTAAGAGTCTTTGGTTCAGTTCAGTTCTCACAAAAGTCAAATAGAATTCTTTTATCTCCCCTCACCTGATTTGTTCAGTTACACTTCACTTTCTAGAGACGTGGTGGCACAGTGGTTAGAATGTAGTATTGCAGGCTAATTCTGCCGACTACCAGCAGTTTGATCTTGACCAGCTCAAGGTTGACTCAAACTTTCATCCTTCTGAGATCAGTAAAATGAAGACATAGACTGTTGGAAGCAATATGTTTAGAGAGTGACGTAAAGCACTATGAAGTGGTATATAAGTCTAAGTGTTATTACTATTAGATACATTTAGCTCATCATCCAAAGCCATCATAACTGTAAAGTTCTTCCTGGTAATCCATGTATGGTGTTATAGTAATAGGCAGATTTATTTATTTTTAATCATTCCCATTGAGTATACTAAAGTAATTAGTTTTTTTCCCAATTAAATAAATACTAATGTTGTCTAGGTTTAAACAGAATTGCCCTTGAAATTCAAGATCTGCTTTTGAAAGGAGATTCCACCTCAATGACAATTAGGTGCCTATTTCTTGAAAAGGCTCCTGAGTTCAGCTAAGCCTTACCCACTTCACATTTCACAAGAGCCCAAGAAAATGAAGAGAGCTTTGGAGATAACAGAGAAACATTTCAATGCCTGCAAAACTCATAAGAAGTTGTGTGAAGGCATGATGGCAATCCTGTGATATCTGGCAACTGCTGCATAATGGTATGAAGAAATATACTGTATATTAATCATTTGTGAATTATTTTGACTTGGAATAAGGTTTATAAATTGGCAACATCAGAAATAACATTCTCATAACAAATAGTCGCCCAAAAGAAATAATAGACATTTTATGGAAAATGTTGCAAAATATACACAAGTGGTCATTTCTAAAATTAACTTTTGAAATGTTGCTTCTGGTTAGTTTGTTAGCAAGTTTTCAGGTAGAATGAGGCTTTCTAAACTTGAGGAAAGTAGAACTTCAGTTCTGCATCAGATTCTGGTAAATCTCACCCTCATTTCATTGATTTGCTGTGGGAAATCAGTCAAGATTTGGGCTTCGGTTGTTGAACTTGCTATTTTCAACCATTTCATCAAGAAGGACAGAATCAATAGTCCTTCTCCTGAGTTGCTTCAATGCATACTGCCTGTAGTATGAGATACTAAGAATTGATCACCGGCATAAGATTGTCCAGTCCTGTTTGATAATGTTCCATAGTGGAGTCATCGGTACATGTCATGGCAGCAAATTCCACAATTTACTGTAGCTATATAATGTGTATATAATTACTTTTACTCAATTTCAATTTTTTCAATTTAAGTACCTTCTGACTCGAAACTGACTCTGACTTCAGAGACCCAGTGCTGAATCTCCTCATATTTTATTGTAAAAGATGAGTTCTAACATTATGACGGAAGAAGAAAAATATATTGTTATTCACATTTTCCATAAAATGCAGAATTTAACATCCTTCAATTACTTCTTTGCACCAGGCTAAAAACTTTCCCTTCAAATTGCTCTTTCATCTAATAATTTTGTTTGCCCTTAAATCATAAGAGATTCCAGGAAACTATTTCGATCAACCTGCCTCTTTGAACAGACTTTTATTCATTTGCCATTCCTACAGAAGCTCTAAGTCCTAACAGTCTAACTTCATCTAGTAATAACAATCACAAAAATTTCTTCTGCACCTGGGCCATAACCACTGTTACTGTCTGAATCTCAGATAATGTAACTTTACATACAATATATTTGCAAAAGAAATATTGATCCAGATACTGTATATTTTTAGCCATTTGTTTGGATTGCTGGATTGCAAATTTTATCCAGTCTGCAAATTCCCATTTTTCATTAAGTGGACATCTTACAGCCCTTAGACTGAACATGTCGTATAGCGTTTTTGCAGCCCAAAGTGAATACAGAAGTACCCATTTCAAAGTAGGTGAATCCATCATTCATCATGATATCTACTGCTCATATGGAGTAGAGCACCCGTTTTGCATGCCAACGACAGGGCTCAAAAGAATTCCTGTTTGAAGCCATGCAGAACCACTGCTAGTTACTGCAGGCAATACTGAGTAGATGATCACAAACTTAGGGGGAACTGCAAATGGGGCACGTTCCTCCTTATGTGTAATGGAATGTATGAATGACCTTGGGGAAAGAGAAGAGGAGATGCTACCTAGGAAACAATCAGACAAGAGAGCTTAAAGTCACTTAACAGTCAGAGAAAGAGACTTAGGAAAGTCCCACCCTAATGGATCAAGTAATTAAAAGTGTAGGTGGAAAGTTTGTGCCTTCAGACTTGCAAGATAACCTTACATTACTGTGGAATTATTCCATCTTGTGTTTCCTGCCTGGTTTGCCTGGGAGGGCTGAAATCAATTCTCTGAGTAGTTTTTTTTTTTTTAAATCGTTGTTCACCTACAGGCAGAAATCTTGCCAGATGAAAACAACTCTCTGCGTAACTATAGATATACTCTCTGAACTGCTAAGGAGGGTCTGTCTTAACCCTCTTCCTGCATATCAGAATTTCCAAGCACCATTGCCTCTTCACCCTCTGGGAAGAAGCCCCTCCCTCCTGGGACTCCAGACTACAGTCCACTACACTGCCCTGTTTTGTGGGATACGCTCCTTCCTGGCAGCTTGCCAGGCCCCCACCCTTTTTCCTTTTGGAAGGCCACTAAGACCTGGCGTTTTACCAAAGTGCTGGGATAGGATCATATAGATAAAAAGTATGAAAGGAGAGCAACTGCAGCTTGTTGTGGGACATCCTAAGGGGGTGACTAAGATGTAAGGTTTTCCTTTTATTATTTTATCATCTTGCTGTTTTTATAATTATTTTCTAGCCATTGGTTTTACTCAGTGATGAAATCCAATTTTTTTTACTACCAGTTCTGTGGATGTGGCTTGGTGGGCATGGTGTGGCTAGGTGGGCGTGGCTTGGTGGGCATGGCAGGGGAAGGATACTGCAAAATCCCCATTCCCTCCCCACTCCTGGGGAAAGGATATTGCAAAATCTTCATTCCCACCCCACTCTGGGGTCAGCCAGAGGTGGTATTTGCTGGTTCTCCGAACTGCTCAAAATTTCCGCTACCGGTTTTCCAGAGCCTGTCAGAACCTGCTGGATTTCACCCCTGGTTTTACTGTACTGTTGCGAGCTGTTCAGAGTTGCTTAAAGTGCAGCCATACAAGTCTTTTAAATAAATACATAAATTAATTAATAATTAATAGTAATGGTAAATAAAAATCTGCCCTCTTCTCTGGGCTGCAGATATGGAAATAAGGACATTGGCCTCCAGGCATCGTCCTGACAGTCTGCAAAAGATTTCAGCAGCATGAAATCCACTCATTTAATGGATAGGTACCTTTTCGTAACTCCCCCCCCCTCTGGTTAGTTTTTCCAAACTCTGTAATTAATCTTGCTCAGCATCTATAATTGAAGAGAACCTGTGCTTAAGTAAATTAGGTAAAGTTCAGCTACACCAGCCCCCAAAGGATTCCCTTCCAAGTTGCACAGAACAGGTTGCTGAAGCGCAGCACCATTTCTCCCCAGTGCTCCGAATCATTTAGCTTATTCAAGTATCTCTGAGCAATCAGCTATGGCTTGAAGAAGCTCGTGCAAAGGCCCCCTCAGGGCTCAAGTCAGATCAGGTGTTTTCCAGAGATACCAGCTCTCCATAGGTATTGGCTCCCTAGTAACAACTTTGACTCACGGAGTTGCGGTGCTTCCATGCCTGAGCCAAGTACAATCTTCTGTGTTAGATCAGCACTCTGCAAATTCCATTTCTCTCCCATTAATCTCAGTCAAGACTGTGTCAGGGAGGAAATACTTTGCCATTCCATATGCGTGAAAAGGGGAGGGAGAAGTTTGACAGAGAATGGCATTTCCTTTGATGCATACCACAAGGGGCAGGAGGAAAGGGCTGTACTTTGCTCAACCCAACTCTCCCAGGACTTTTTACCAATACCTCATTAATTAGAAGAGGAAAATGAATAATTCTTTTTTATAACCCATCTTTTCCAGCAGCCTCTGTCTGACTCTGCCAAGCAGAAGCCGGAATCTCCCAGCAGAGCTATTTATAACCTGTGATAGTTTTCAGAGTGCCACTTTGATGTTCTTCCACCAACTCTGGGAAAGAAATAGTCCATCCCCAAATAAACTGATACTGAAGAAAGAAGAAGAGGAGGAGAGAAGAAGGTAGTTAACATTCTATTGTCAACATTATTTCACTAGGGAAATGTTAACGTCAAGAGCAGAATAAAAATCCTCACCTTTACACTATCAAATTCCTTTTGTGTTCCATATCAGTTCAAAATTACTGAACACTCTTCAATCTGAGTCGGTTTACACAAGACGATTTTGTTATATGGAAAACATTTCCTTATAACAAGCCACATGCCTGCAATGCATTTGTGTCAGCAAAATCATGGAAATTATACAACACAAATGTAGAATGACATTGGATTTACTCTGTTTTATCAGCAGAGTAACCATACTCAGTCGGTTTTAAGCACAAATGTGCAACTTGGTAAAAAAAAAAATCCTGTTTACTTTACAGGAATTTGCAAAGAGCACCAAGTCAATGTTATTCCAATCTAGTGGTATTCCTTTAAAATATAGAACATTCCATAACTCTTTACATTCACGTCTCATAACAGAAAGACAATTTGTCTGCATCTGCCCCTAATTTATATAACTGTTAACATAAACCAACAAAGAATATATTTTTAGAAAAAAATGCACAACACTATGCTTTTTCTCACTGACATGTTAAAATTTTCCTGATGAAGATTTTTAAAATGCAAATCCCTCAATATAAATTATGGTTTTTTAGCAAGTACTGCTATTTCAACACAAGTTGGAGCCTTGGGAAAGGGAGTTTTTGAAAAAAACAAAGCAGCTTTTTGCTGGACTTCATTTGATACTAGCATTTCCATCGCTGTGATCTGGTGAAAGCTGGAGCTGAAATTAATTCCTAAGTGTTTCAGGGCAACAAATCATGATCTGGAAGAGCACCTTACTCATTTAGCTATCCCTGGGTTCAAAGTCCTGGATAATTTTTGTCCAGTTTTTGCCCATTTTTTTTCTTTTTAAGAAAAGCTCTTATGTGGCCTCATAAATTTGAAATTTCAGTAAATTTAATTTCAATAAACTTTCAAAATGGTTGGATTAGTATCAACTGAAGGGAAAAAATGTGTTTGTTTTGTTTTCCCTTAAACTGTGAGTTTTACACATTCCTATTCCTCATCAACCAAGATCTAGTGATGGGTAGTGATTCACTAAGCTGTCACCCAACAGGATATCCATCATACAAATGCCCCGGTGATGTAATTCCCTCACTTTTCAGAGATGGTTGAGGCTGAACAACTTTCTGTACCATCTGAAGAGATATCCACTCACCCAGCCAATTAGTTAAACCTTCTGAAAATATTTGTTATTGTCCTGTATTTCAGCCTTTAAACCGCTTATGGCTTAAACCTTGTTACTTTAGAGGATTCAACTGGATTGTATATTTTTAAAGCTGTAAATGGCTTCTAACAGTGCTGTTGTTGTTGTGTTTAATGAACAACAGGTTAAAAATTTATACACAATTAAACAAAATGAATGGCTGTCCTAAGAATCTATCAGTTGTTGACAGCAGAAGAGTCTGCTAATTGTCACCATGGAATGTGGTATTCAACCAACTCGCCCGTTATCCTTGCTTTTTTGGAAAGGAGGGGGGGAGGGCCCTGACCTAGGATAGCCCATGTTTTCTTCTATTCACAAAGAGAAATAGAAAGGAAATAGTTTTTCAACTAGCCAAACAGGAACAATCAAATTTCAGCTCTTTGAGTGAATAAGCTGCATGTAACATAGATGCCTCCAAATGGATGTGTCTTCATGTGATCAACCAAAAGATATCAATTCCTTCTTTCCCTTCTTAATATATATATATATTTTTGCCTAATGAAAAATAATGGCTGAAGCAACAGGAATGATGATAAAATGGAAGATAAAATTTCATTTTAACCTCTTGCATAATAATTTTTAACACAATGTGCTTGGTTTATGCCTGGTCCATCTCATTATGTTTTATATATCTTTTGGATAGCTACTGTGATTACCTAGATAAGAGGAAAAAAGAAGAGAATCATAACTATGGATGGGAATAGAGGTCAGCCACAGTAAAAAGTTTCTCCCAGAAGCCTCCTTTATCAGTCTTCAAATACATTCATTCTCTCATTACCTTCCATGAATCTCACTTCTAGGAATTCTAGATATTTTCTTCCTGAAAGTTGGGTCATCAGTGATTAATGGCTCCTCTAAGGGTGAGCCTTTTACAACTTTTGATCTTGATTGGCAACAGGCCATTTGCAAATGATCAAGAAAAAGAATTCATCCTGCTGTGCCACTGAGGGGGAAAAAAAGATGTATTTTAGTTTACTCCAGGAAATTATTGGTTTTGCTATGGGTGAGTCTTGAATACATTATTTTTATGCCAGTTTCATCATCCTTTTGTTGTTGTTGTTGTTGTTGTTGTTGTTGTTGTTGTTGTTGTTGTTGTTGTTATGAAAACCAGGACACTGCAAAGGAGAGGGATTAAACAGGTTATGCCTTCTAAAGATCAAATCTCCCACCTTTTGCTGTTTGCTAATGATAATGGTATCATAATGTCTTAACAATCCCCTTCAGCCACATGATAACAGCCTCATCTCATTCCTAACAGATAATGCAAGTAGTGTAACTGAGATGAACATAGCAAGATCCCCATAGTTATAAAAACATAAGGCTGCCAAATGATAACTATCCAGTTAGGTCCAAAGAGGAACTGAATTTTAACTTTCTTTATTCCAACCTCAAAGCTTCAATAAATGTAGGACTGAGAGTGTACAAAATTAAATCCACCTTTCCAACTAGTAATTTCAATTTTTACAGTAAAATCACATAGCATGCTCTGCCAAAGAAAGTTATTAAATAGCATATACATTTACTTAAAAGAATGTGAAAAATAGGTAGGCTTCTTAAAGCATAAATCAATGTTGAAATTAGTTTTATCCTAATCATTTTTATCTTATCCCAAGTACTCAAAGGAATGCTAGGCCATCTGTCTGAAACTGATTTCAGCTGTGCCAAAACTAGGAATAAATTCATTATTGCCAGCTGAGCAACCTTTCTAGGAATCCTAATACCCCAGATAAACACAGGAATCAGTACTAAAATGGCAGTCTTAAATATATCCAATTTACTGTATTACTGAGACCCAAATCAAACTCTTATGTGCTCCAATTTATAGAGCAATTAGATAAGGTATCAAACTCTTGTATTAAATAAATAAAATCAGGAATGGAAGTTTCTGGGGCATTGATAAAAAATAAATATAACCAGCATGTAGCAGAATTTTAAACTTTTCCTTACCTATTCCAATAGCTTCAATCTTTTCTGAATTTCTAGTGGCACTAGCAAAAAGTTCTAAAATGTTTCAAAAGCAGCTAAAAGAGAAGGAGAAAGATGGGAATCTTGATATATACAATTTTATAACTTTCAATAAAGAGAAAATACAGCACTGGTAAAAACATGTGATCTTGGGGTTGAATAAGACATTATCAGTTCAAAAAGAAAACATTAACTTGCTACTGAAGTGACAAAGGAACCGTATTTCAGTATCATCCAAAGAAGTAATTGCAATTGCATTCTGCCTAATTTCAGTTACTGTATTGCACCATTTAGAAATATCTTATTAAAATTTTTGACAAGCCCGGTCAAATTTGATGCACTATGGCAGAAGTATAAGAATAATCTATGGGATAAGACAACTGTTACAATCTTATCACCTATATTTATCAAGACATTAGATTTACAATTGAAATATTCAATAAGATATTTGCCTGGCTTGGACAGAACATAATATAAACTTCATTATAATGAAGGGATAAGCTGTCAGCCCATCAAGGTAGGTTAATCTAGGAAACCAGTGCCATGTAGGTCAGTACTACTTTTATTGTAAAGCCATAGTAACGGAATCTTGCAAGTCTGAATAAGCTTTCCTTCTCCCTCCTTTTGTCTGTGAGAATTGTCTGAGGGAGGGCTTGTCTGAGACTTTCACTAACTTACACTCTTACCCTGAACACATGCTCTTTTTATCTGCCTGTTGCCTTGGTAGTTGTTCTTCCTTCTGTCCCTCAGGGCCATTCCCTCTGCTCTCTACGTGAGCATTTATTAAAAAGGGTTTTATTATATATTTCCAATAAAATAAGAGAGAAGAAGTCAATAATTGCTACTTATCATTATGTTCAAACCGTAAAGTATAATTAATGTTAAATAGGCTTTATTGAAATAAGACATCTTCTTATATCATGATTTGACATAGGCTGCCTTTAGTAAACTTGGGATGAGGAATTTATTTTAATCTATTATCCCAGTGGGTTTGATGATAGTAATGAATGGGAATTTAGGAGAGTTTTTTTTTAAAAAACCATTAATTTATTTATTTAGCAAATTTATATGGCTGCCATCTACCAATGGAATTCTGGCAGCAAACAAAAAAGTAAAAATTAATACAAAAAATAATTTTAAAAACCATGTCAAGCTAAAATAAGAAACATATTTTCCACATATCTCCCACACATTGTTAAGATTCTGGGCGCAGGTTCTTCAAAGCCTTATGGAAAGCCAACAGCATTAGGGCTACCCACATCTCAAGAGACAGGGTGTTCTATAAGGGAACACCCAGTCTATATATATATACATACATACATACATACATACATACATACATACATACATACATACATATATATATATATATATATATGTATGTATGTATGTATATGTTCTATATATATAGATAGATAGACACGGTGTTCCCTTATAGAACACCCTGTCCCTGGAGATGCGGGTGGCCCTAATGCTGTTGGCTTTCCATAAGGCTTTGAAGAACCTGCGGCTTTGAAGAACCTGCTTCCTTTTAACCTGCGGTTAAAAGGAAGAAACAGCTGCGATTACACATTGCTCCTGGAAGCATGAAGCCGAGAACACCAGCCTGAAGATGACGAATGAGACTTCGTCGAAACGTCACCAAGACACTTCCAATTTTACGTGGGAGAAGACCCGAATAACCAAAGACATATATATATATGTAGGGAAAACCTGGCTAGAAGAAAAACACACATAAACCCTACGAAGAATAAGAAAATTGATACTGTACCTTTACAGGGAGGATACATAAGACATGGGTGTGGCCTACTGATGACAGCTAACGAGCTAGAAATGGATCTATTTAGGTCTCCCACCTAGCAGTTAGAGCTTGCTAGGTGTCAGAAAGGAAAAAAGCCCAGAACCGAGTAGATGTGATTCTACTGAGCTGGAGCTACAAAAAAAAAAAACAAAAAAAACCCCTTGGCTATGTAGGGAAAACCTGGCTAGAAGAAAAACATATATATATATATATGCATATTCTTTCTACCCAGGTTTCTCAGGTTTCTCTTCTCAGGTATCCTCCCTGTAAAGGTACAATGTGTCTTTTTCTTTTTCGTAGGCTTTTATGTGCATAAAAGAAGAGAAGAAGGTGTGGCTCACTGATGACGCCTTACAAGGCAGAAATAGCTATCTGAGTCTCCCAAAAAGCAGCACAGAGTTGCTGTTTGTCACCAGAAACAAAAAGCCCAGAAACTTGTGAATGAGATTTCACAGAACCAGGGCTGTAGAACATCTTAGCTTATGTAGGTAAAACCTGGCTAGAAAGAATATGCACATAGAAGCCTACGAAAAAGAAAAAGACATTATATATGTGTGTGTGTGTGTGTGTGTGTGTGTGTGTACACACACTATCAGCATTGTATATGACATAGGGGCTAACCACTTGCATTTAGGAAGCTTATAGGTAGGATATATTTCATTTATGGCCCACTTATAGCTGATACACAAGGCACATTGCTTTGCATTTTACAATATTCCATGGCCATCAGGTGTAGCCACTAATAATGCTATTCCACAGTACCCTTGTAAACTGGTGTACGTGTGTGTGTGTGTGTGTTTGCTACATCTAGGAAGCACATTTCATAGCCCAATATGCACCCTTGCCTGGAAAAGCTACATATACAGTATGTGCTAGAACATGCATACATTTTTCATACAGGTAGGCTTTACATGTTAAGGGCACAACACAGAATTTTTCATTGATGGCAAGAAATTCTACCAGTAATTTCTCCACAATCATTATTTCAGTGAAATGGTTCTTTGGACTCCCTTCAAAGACATGTACTTAGATATCAAATAAATGAATGGAGATCAAGAACACAAAATGACCCTTGCACATATACTTTCATCCTTACACCTATACTGTACTTTTAGTGTAGTAGTGAATAGAAAAGGCTTTTTAGAGGGAGGGGTGTTAGGGATCATTTCACAGCCTCTTATAGTTTTACATTTTTTTAAAAAAATGCTAATTATAAGGTAACAAAATAAAATGCACTCTATAGGGAGTTGGATTTCTTATACAGACTAAACTGTTGAGGACATCAAATGGCCTAAAGGGCCACAATTCCACAACTTTATAACATTTTTGATAAAGTACTGTTATAATCATAGAATCCTAGGGCTGAAAGGGACCTTGGAGGTCTTCTAGTCTAACCCCTGTCCAAGACAGGAGTCCTTATACCATCTCAGACAAATTAATGTCCAATCTTTTCTTGAAAACTTCCATTGATAAGAGTACCCACAACTCCGAGCACTTTAACAAACTCAGGGGTGTTTGGTTTGCATATCCATTGCCTATCTGTTTTCTAGAATGAAATAAGGGGGGAAATTAAGAGGGAAATTATGTTACAAATACTTTTTTTTTAAGCATGCACTCTGTGTGTGTATGTATATATCATGTATGTATACATGTGTGTGAATGCACAGGCATACACGTAAACACACAGAAAGAGAGATACTTTCTCTGACTTCTTAGCTGCAATAATGAAAGCAAATGTTTAAAGAGATAAGTAATGTGAACAGCAGGACTATATGTTTGGCTCCATTACCATCTGGAATTGATCTGCATTCTTGTTGCCCTTGAATTAGCTTGGCAAAGAAACATCTGCCTTACTACACCAGCTAATCCTACAAATTGGAAATCGAAAAAGATCATGTAAATTGCTCCACAGAGAACCTGCCATCCTGCCTATAGGCTACTTGCTTAAAAACCAGGAGATTAAAGAAATCAATGATAGGAAACAGCTTCAACCGCCAACCTGGAATCACTGTTTGGCAACAAACAGAATCAAGTAATGCTCAAAGAAGCCCTGGAGCAATTAATGCTACACAGAGTAAATGTTCCTTAACAAGAGCTCTTGGGTATTTACAGAGACTAAGGCAGGAGCAACAGAAGATAAATCCTTGGAAGAGCTCCCAATGAGCTGGGACAAATGAACCAAGTTTTTCAACTCTGAGCACTTTAACAATTGTACAAAACCAAGGGCCTTTCCTCTTTCCTAAATGAAACTACTAAAATCAAGAACACTGTAAGGAAAGCAGAAACAGATTTGTGTGTATAAGAGCTCCAGTTCTGGCCATGGAAACCAACTCCTGGTGCGAGCATGGTCTTGTGCAATTCAGGGTCTGCCTTGAGGGCTCGTAATCTGGGCGTCCTCCTGGACGCACGGCTGTCTTTAGAAGAACATATGACGGCCGTGGCCAGGGGGGCTTTTTATCAGGTTCACCTGATTCGCCAGTTGCAGCCCTTTCTGGACCGGGACTCCTTGCGCACGGTCACTCACGCCCTGGTCACCTCCTGGCTGGACTACTGTAATGCTCTCTACATGGGGCTCCCCTTGAAGAGCACTTGGAGGCTCCAACTGGTCCAGAATGCGCGGATGGTTATGGGCGCGACTCGTTGTGCCCAAGTGACACCTCTCCTGCGCGAGCTGCACTGGCTCCCAGTGGTCTTCCGGGTGTGATTCAAGGTGTTGGTCACCACCTTTAAAGCACTCCATGGCTTAGGACCCGGGTACCTTTGAGACCGACTTCTGCCACCAGTAGCCTCCCACCGGCCAGTCCGCTCCCACAGAGAGGGGCTCCTCAGGGTGCCATCGGCCAAGGTATGTCAGCTGGCGACACCCAGGAGGAGGGCCTTCTCTGTGGGGGCTCCTGCCCTGTGGAATGAACTGCCCCCAGAATTGCGCAAGATCTCCGACCTCCGTGTATTTCGCTCTGCCCTCAAGACCCTGCTGTTCCGCCAGGCCGGGCTATCAATGTAAATGATTTTAAATTGGGGTTTTAAAATTTTTGGGTTTTAATTCGGGCCGAAATTATTTAATAATTTTAATTATTTGTAATTGATGTCTGTATATTTTTGTCTTTTTAATAGGCTGCACACCGCCCTGAGTGCTTCGGGAGAAGGGCGGTATAGAAATAAAATTATTATTATTATTATTATTATTATTATTATTATTATTATTATTATTATTATTATTATTATTATTATTATTATTATTATTATTATTATTGTGGGCTTGCTGTAAATACAGGACAAGTGCCAATGAAAGAGCAAAGGGTTCTGCAAACCCAAGATCCATCTAATCTTTGGCTATGGAACTTACCTCCTCTTTCCAGAGAATAAAGGTTGCCATTTCTTCCTTTTATATATATAAAAAGTCTCCACTACTGTCTTTAATAGCAGCCTTGCCTTCTATATTTGGCTTCTAAGCTATATCTTACAAACTGTTGGAACTAAACTAAACTATATCTTATAAACTGTTGGAACTGTATGTACGTATGTATGCGTATGTATGTATGTATGTATGTATGTATGTATGTATGTATGTATGTGGGTAAGTAGATGTTTCCTCTCCAGGTATTTATCTTTTTTTGTTATCTCCCTCTCCTTTTATCCTTTTTTATCCTTTTCTTTAAAACAGTTTGAATTAAAAATAGTAGGGTTCCTCTGGAGTACCTATTTAAGCCACAGGATTTTGGTTGCCTCATTCTCCTCCTATAGCCAATCCAGGTCCTTTCATTTACATCAATGTACACAGCATTCCTCCAAACTGTTCTCTCTCCATGTCCTCTTCATGCTTAGACTGGCATGGCTTGGAGCAAGAAGCTATGGGAATCTGATATAGTGAGGCCCAGGAAGGGACATGGTTCACTATCTGAGGTTTTGTGTTCACACTTCCTTGATTGTTGAGGTATGATGTAGTCCTAGAAAATGAAAATGTAGCCAGATTGGCTACAGCACCTCCTCTGTAAGGAAGAGAAAAGTACAGTCACATGCTATAATTTTACACATAATTTCCATGATATAGGTTCTATGTAGCTTGGCAGCTCCAGCAGCTCCTCATCCAGCAATCCAGGGTTGCAAATGGTGATTGCCAATCCTGCAGTGGGACGCCCTCACAAGTGGGTCCTTTGACAATGGCTGTAACTGGGGATGGAACTACATTGTGCTGCCTAATCCAATCAGGATGTCCTGCTGATTGTGGCCCGGCATGGATCTGATTCGGGTATCAAATCTCCCTCACTTTGTAGTGCTTGTCACAACATAGAGAAACATATTACCGGAGAGTGATGTTGGTTTTAAAAATGAGTATCGACATGAACTGACCAACAGGTATTTCCTTTAGTTGCACAGATGTCTGTGATTAACATTTGAATGAACAAGTCTGTCTACGCTTCCAGCAATCAGTTTCGAAAAGAGGGAACCTGCAATATGAGTATGACTGAGTTTGGCTGCAAATCAAATCTAAGTGAACCATGGCCAAAATCTGCAGCCCCCCCCACCCCCGCCCAAACAAGCCTTAAAAAGCCAGACAACTATTAGATAGTAGCAAGAGCTACATTTTCTGCATTTCTTTGCTATCATCTAGTGGATTTTGTGAGTTTTGCAACTTCACCGGGATGGGATAACTAGCCTCCCGGAGGATGGAGATATAGATAGATAGATAGATAGATAGATAGATAGATAGATAGATAGATAGATAGATAGATAGATAGATAGATAGATAGATAGATAGATAGATATGCATGTCATTTAACTTGTCCTTGTCTCTTTTTGGTATACTATCATAGAAAAACTTGCTAACTTGCAAAAGTCTGTTAACTCAGTATGCACACTTGATAATCAACAAAATAATCTGGAAAAGGCACCCATAAAGAGGGAATAAAGTATGCAGATAATCTTCATTTAGCAACCACAATGGGGAGCAGCTACTCATTAAGTGAAGCAGTCACCATGTGAAACCACAACCGTGCTTATTATCTTTCTTCATGTCGTGGCCCTGTCAGAGCCTGGGTCCGAGAAGGAGGATGAGATGGAGCTAGGACCAACGGAGGAATTAGGACGAAGCAGTCCTAAATCCCTCAGGCCTGGGAAGGATCGCCAGCAAATGAGAGAGAGTGCAGGATGACTAAGCAAGGGGGGAGAAGAGGGCAGGCAGCAGAGCAGAAGAGCGACAGAGCTCCAGCGACAAGCAATTACTTTTCCCTCCCCCGCATCCCCAGCACAGAGAATGGAGAGGAGGCAGGATCAGTGCAGGGCAACCCAACGACTCGGGAGGAGGGCGTCCCACCCCTCTTCACAAAGCTAACCTGGGGAATGAGATTTAAAGAGACACCATTTGGAGGGGCACTTGTCAGGAGCAAGTGTTGCCTTTTTCCAGTCTCACGTGCTGTTACCGATGTCTGGATATTTTGCTTGCCTTGCCCTGCTTGCCTTGCTTACCTGGCCTGGCTATGTGCGAGTTCACAGCAACACAGTTCTGCTCTGGATTGTGCTGCAGTCCCAGTGAACTCTTCCTGTGATTAGGAGTCCTTGGAACCAAATTCCCTGAACTGTGGCTGTTCTCAGAACCATGCTGCTCCTCTGGACTAATAGCAACCAGGAACTATTGGAGGTGCATGTTTAGAGATTGGCTCCTGGACTTGCAGTGAATGGTGGGACTTTTGGGGGAAAGTTGGATAAATAAAGGGGAGTTAAGCCTTTGTTCCAGCTGTGTTGCTTCCGTGCCCAGCCCCTGGTCATCACACTTCAGCTTTCCTTTGCTTAACAGACCTGCAAATATCATAAATGTGAAGATGAGTCAGAAAGTTACTTTTCCATAACCGTTGTAACTGCAAAGAAGGCAGTTGCTAAACAAGGACTGCCTGTACTGGAAAAAGATAAGAGATGGAGACCATAAGGTGAGTCCTCTGATTTAAACTGTGGTCATCTAGGAATTCAGGAATTTTATAATGACCAAGATAAGCAGTTTCCTGTACCTGGTTAGCAGAGAAGTGCTGCCTTGGGACTTGATGTCTACATGTAGCTAACATGACTAATAGACTTTTATAGATCTTTCTCTTATTTATTTGCAATCAGTGTCAATATACCTTATGCACTTTCCATCCTTATTTTAACTATAGTGATTTTAACTTTGATTATGATCGTGTCCCCTCATCCAGCAATGAGAAGAGCAGGAGGAATTCATCTCTGGCCTATACATCTATATTTGATCCATCAATTGTGTGGAACAGGGCAAGGTAAGCACATATGTTGAGCTGAAGGCAGTCTTCAATCTTGTATGCTAAACTAAAAAATGCCCAAAAAGTGTAGGCATGGCTGGAACAAAATAAAACATGAATACGTATTACAGTAATATTAATATGTGATATGCATATTATTAATACGTACTATTAATATTAATATGTGAATAAATGAAGTAAATATTCCGCACTGGCTAGACAAATGCTTCCAGGAGGTTTAGAAGAAAAATGTTTTGGATGGCATCACAGAATATATTTACTGTTAAAATTTTCTGCCTTGAAATGAGAGAGAAACTGCTCTAAACTGATTATACATAATAAGAACACACATATATGTGTACATATAAGTAGGACATTTGAAAAGAAGAAACAGTATTGGCTAACATATTTCCAAATAATGTCAAAATATTTAAAATTTCACCTTATATAAAAAATATAGCATCTTAAGAATATAGCATCATGGATTTTTTTAACCTTACTTTTTCTCCCTCTGTTTTTGAGCCTCCTTCTTTCAGGCAATAGATACCAATTCTCAGAAATTTGTTCTTGGAAGTTGACAGCAAACCACCATGGCAAAATTGTGAACTATGAGCAATAGAATCCAAGCACTATACCAAAACCTTTGCAGGTGGTGAAGCCAGCAATATATACATCCAACTAGAAAGGAACCAATGAATCTCTGTACCCAATGCATCTTCAAGTCAGTGTTTGCTCCTGGTGACTTCCTGGGCAAGTAGCTGCTTTGTTCTTGGCAAGATTTCAGAAGTGGTTTGCCATTGTCTCCTTCCTAGAGCTGAGAGTGATTGGCCCATGGTCACCCAGCTGACATTGTGTCTAAATCTCTTTGTGTCTACACCAAATTGGCTTTTTTTTCTAGAATAGTTATGCTACAAAAAGAAGAAAGGAATTACAAGATAGGGGATAAAAAGATGTATGTGTATTTCTTTATAGCCAGTGTAGTGTGTTCACTAAAATGTTGATCCAATCTGCTCTCAGTTATGAAAGCCTGTTGCCATTCATTCCCTTAGTCTTATCTATTTCACATGGTTGTTGTTGTTGCATGAATAAAATGAAGAGAATTTTCTATGTCATCCACATTGATCTTCTGGTGTGGGGAAGGGAGAGGTATTATATATTGTTATATAACAATTTGCTTGTCCTAAATTATTGTAAGTATAGATGCAAATTTAGAATTGTGATACAGTACAGCTGGGGGATATTGTGCCCAGTGGCTGGCATACCTACTTGATCTACTATCCTAGGCCACTGTGCTCTCTTTTTGCAGTTATTAATCTTTCTACCTGATCTTGACTGGACTGTATCTTAGATCAAAGGAATCTTCAAGAAAAGAGATCTACTAGGTCATATGGAAAACTTATAGTTATCTTGGTTAGAAAAGAAAAGAATGGGTAAAAAAAGTCTAACTTTCTTTAAAAAAATACAAGGTGCTGCAAGATGGCAGATGGAGCCATAAGAAACCTGGGATTTGATACAGCTGTGGTCCTCATCCCCAATGGTGTAAACTCAAAACCAAATTCCTCACAACCAGAGGAATAATAAGGATTCCACCAAGCCAGTAAGAAAGAAGAAGTTATGACTCTTAAGCAGAGTAGCCAATATACTTCTTCCTTGTCTGGCATTGCAGCCAATATTGTTCATCTATAATTATTAATGTGGGAATATGTTTTGACAATTCCACATCCCCAGCACAGTCTTCTGGCACTCTTCCCAACAGACTGGAAAATGTTCTTTAGTTTAGTGCTATTATAGCAAAATCAGCAGCTTCTGGACAAATCTACCTTAGCCGGAATCCAGACTGAGTGGAGATAATAAAGAAATAAACAAACAAATATCCTCCATAGTGCTTGGCCGAAACCTATCAATTCTGGCATTCTGTATTGAGAAGAGGGATCTGGATTCAAGTTGCATATGGCACCGGGCTGCGGCCAGAAACCAGACCACACAAAGAAGCGAAAGCCCCCTCCACCGGATGCAGGCAGCACATGAAACCATGTCCCCTCCAAGAAGATCTCTTTCCATTGAACCAGTCCATTGAACCAGTCCCTCCATTGAACCAGACCATATGCCAGTGGCCCCCTACCTACTGGCATATGGAGTCAAATACCACTGGATAAGAAAAAAAGGGGTGGCTGTGAATATAGGGAGCGTATTTTGTATCCTTTTCCAAACCTGGCAGATATTTTAAGCACCTGTCCATCATCCTCTACACTTTGGCCACAGATGAATAACATTATCATGCCAATGACATTTGGAATTATTCATCAACTCAGAAATGAATAAGTTCCTGCTGATGCATATTTGTCATTCATTCTCCACATCTGTTTGTGAAGTGGAGAGAGAAGCCCTCAAGGCTCAAAGGCCTCTCTATGCTCTGACTCAGTGCATGAAAACATCCATTCAAGTTAAGCCTTGTTTGGCTGATGAAAGGCAGAAGTGCTGGAGTTGGCAGGGAAGTCTTCTGTGTTAATTGCTCATCGCTGAATAAACTCAACCTCCTCGGTCCACATTCATTCAAGACGAAGTGCTTACTGGGCTATGGTGTCCTTCATCAGATGTAAACTGAGGCTGCCCTTTCACCTCCAGCAATCCAGTGCAGTCCAGTACAGTGTGAAGAGTATTGACATCTGCTCAATTAATAACTGAATTCTAATACAGCTTGAGGATGGTCTACCAAAGAAATAACATCACATACAAATTCCTACTCAGAGCATATTCAGCTGGAATAAAGAAAAATTCAAGCCAGGAAGTCAAAACTACACGATCTATGACTGTGGTTTTACGAATGAATGGTATCAATAATTAGACTAGAAAAATTATACTCCCTCTTATTAAGTTTGCAAGCATGGAAGCTCCCACTTCTTTTGATTTGATTTACAACATGAAAGCAAAATGGCAGGAAGAAATCCCCAGAGCGAGTAAAAAAAAGAAAAACCGAATGGCCTATTAAACTCCACACAAACATTATTCCTCACTAGGAATGGATGTATACATCTGTTTTGGTTTCTCTCAATTTTTCTATGAATTTCCATTTGTGGAACTTCAGAATCTTTTAACTTCTGCTTAAATGTTTGGGGGAGTAACAACCACTTTTGAAGTGTGGCCATTAGCATGTCACACAAGTCTCAGTCAAGCTGACAGAACTACACAGTCCTGCCTTACAATACAACATGCTGAGGCACCTCCTAGTGGTAATAGCAGAGTCAATGGTCAGAGCTGCAGTATATTGGGAAATAGTGGTGAATTCCATGATAGCAGAAAATGTTTATAAAATTGACTTGTAAATAGAAGATTGCTGATTCTAATCTCAGCACAAATGTTTCAAAGAGCTAGAGTGGTATAGTGATGATGGGACTTTAAACCAGAGAGGCCCAAATTCAAAACTACCTTCAGCCTCAGAAGGTCACTGGGCAACTTCACTCTCTCAGGGCAATCTACCTCCCAGGGTCATAGTGGAAAGAAGGAGCACTATTTATGCTGCCTTAAGTTATCAAAAGAATGACAGGATATTAATCTAACAAATAAAGAATAAACTTTATGCACAGTAAGGGCAACAGATTTTTTTTTTCTTTTTCTTCCTGACCAACTCAGCCATCTAGCCAGGAGAATATATAAAGAAAATGAGGAGCTAAAGTGCAGTTGCCTTTGCACACAATTGCATCATAGCAGAGAAAAGGCAGTATTAATATCTTGTGGGTAAGAAGCGAAGATCTTAGCCAAGGGTGAGAATTCCCTCCTGCTCCAAATTCACAGGCTAGATTTTGAGAGAAATGGGAGAACTCCTTCCTAGCCAGAGTCAACAGAGAACCATGTCCTGAGAAATCTTTCTCAGAAGATGTAAATATTATCTTTACTTATCAAAATAAAAAGAAAATCTTGCATAATGATATTCAAAGGGGGTCAAAAACAATAGAATGCTGATTGCAGGATTTGTCCCATCTGATTTAGGCACAGACCATCTTCCCAAGTTTATGTAGAAAATTCATATACTTGGTATAAGCAAAGGATCTTCCAAAACGTTGCAGAGTATTCCTCTCTTCTACACTCACAAACTCCTCCAGGCCATCCACACTTGATTGGCTCTTGATGGAGCAAGGAGTTTGCAGAGTACCTTTCTCCCACTACTACTAGTGCCAACTTTGCCTTTCTCACCTCCTACATCTCAGTTTCTGAACTGGGTGAGAAGGGAACATTCTTTGTGTTGGGGCAGCAAGACTTGGCAAGGGATGTGTGCATTCTCAGGAGCTCCACTTCTTTCTTAGGAAATGCTGTCCGTCTAGATCCCAACAGCAATATGTGGCTTTTAAGATATTTTTCTCAGAGTGAATCAGGGAAACGCTTTGAGAATTGTGCTCCCCCCTGTGATGTATGGAAAATAGCAGAAGGGAAAAGGGAGAAATATGCTAAGGGAGGGGTGCCAAGTGAGGTCTGCTATTGGAGTTGTTGGATTTGTGACTTGGTTCCTTTGCCACCCACCATGTTAGTCCTGCTCATTTCTTCAGACTAGCAGCTGGGGATTGATATGTTTCCCAGAGGACTGCGTATTATGTGCTCCTGTCACTGCAGCAGCCAAACCTCTTGCTGGACTCACCCCAAAATTATGAATGTAAGTCTCAGTGCCAATTAATTACTGCTGGGTTTTTTTTCCTGAAGAATATGACTTAATCATGGAGACCAACAGACCACATGTGGCCTTTTTCTCTCTCTTGTCTTGCTGGAGCTCCTCTCCTCTATCCTCCTCCCTCTTGGCCTGCAATTGGCTATGCATACATGGAGTCCAGCTCACGTTCCCCACATCTCTCAGGGATTGCCTGGCCTTTGATCATTTGTCTGAAAGATCCTGCTTCTTTTGCCTTTCCACCCACTTACCCCCTTTCCTTCAGCTGCAAAGACAAGTTCTGCATAGGCTGTGTAGCCACTACCATTAATATCCCATCAGTCAAGCTGTGCATAGAAAGCCTCCTGAGGATCACTATCTAGGATGTAAATTGTTCTTCAGCTTTCTCTCCCATTGTGAGCTGTAGGTGTCACTGGGCCTTCTAAATGCACACAGCCCATCCTCCAGAGCTATGGAAAGGGGACCATGTGGGTGGACAAGGGCAGGGTAGGCAATATTGATGGGGCATGACAAATTGTAGCAGTCCTGTTTATTTAGGCATGTCCCATCACTTCTTGATGGAATGGGAAATGTCTTCCTCTCTCCCCCAACATATATATCACTCTTCTTTCTCTACCCAGCAATCCTCTTTTCAGTCATTTTCATTGACAGTGCCTAACTTATCTGCCCCCATTACTCCTTTACTTGGACACATCTGTCTACTTCGTGTCACAATTGTTGGCATTCAAGCACCAGATGGGCAGAACAAGAAAAACTCAGTGTATATCTGAGGATCTGTCATCGACAAGTCTGATTTTTGATTGATTGATTGACTGGCTGACTGATTGGATTGCTCTGCAACTATTCCCAAGAGCCTCAAAGCAGCTTTTTGGATGTTAGGTTTATAGCACAATAAATGCACAGTTGTTAATAATTTGTTGCACAGATTCCAGATGTCTTTCTCTTAAAGATGTGCTTCTGTTGCGGAACAATCACATTTTTCCACACTCAAAACCAGAATATTTGATCATAGGAGAAATACTCTTTTTCTCCAGTTAATAGATTTCATAATGTCACAAGCAACAGTTGGATAGAGCTTAGCACATTTCTAGTGATATACACGAAGTCCTTCCCCAACTGCAATCTCATGAACTTTTGAAACCTGATGCAACCATTTTGAAAATACTGGCCTATGGCTGTGTGTTCTTATACATTAAGAAATCTTCATCCAGCTCTGATTTAAAAAAACAGCATTGTGAATACCTTACACATCTTATCATTATTTCAAAAGCCTTTACTAAATTTTAAAAACAAATCTGGGGTGCTGACTGTGTAAAACCAATGATTAGAAAACAAACAAATACCCAAACTTCAGCTTGGTTCTAGTTTAAATTAATCTAATTTAGAGCACATCTCTTGGAAATCATTATATTTTAGTTAATTTTTAATTCAGGAAATCTCCTCTAACTTTGAGTC